AGTGCTGATCCTACAGCGCTACACCATAAAATTACACTTGCTTTGGAAGCATGACCCACATAAACCATGAAACATTGTAATATGAAAGGGTGAATTATTAGTGTTCACTCCAATGAACCACACTGATAGGAGTCTATTATACATATAACTGAATTCATTTTACAAAGGAGAAACTGAGGTACAAGTTGACTCAAATTACTTACTCATTGACTTCACTTTGATTCTTTACAATTCCTTGTAACAATTTCAGTTAAGTCACAATTTAAAAATGTATTCTGTGGCACTGATTGTGTGCTAAGGTGCATGGAGTCCTGGTGTTGAGCTGTAGGATAAGCACTAGACTGCTAACCACGTTGACAGTCCAATCCTCAGAAACCCTACAGAAGGTTGCTGTGAGTCAGAACTTAGTCACTGGCACTTAACGACATCAACAAGGCATCTAATAAACTCATCATAACAGAGAAAGTGAATAGAGGTTAAGTTCTTGGGGTAGAATGATGAGTGGAACTTTGAAAATGCACATATGGAAATTTCAAGTAAGTAGTATCTGATTGACAGTTTAACATGGAAAATGAGGAGGCTGCAGCATAAAAAGTTATGTAAGCAAGAAAACTGGTCACATATACTTTGATTTCTGCTGACTGTTCAACATCCATTTCTTAAACATAGAGAAGAAAGTTTCTCCTGAGCAGAATAAGGAGGGACCAGATCAGGAAGGGGTAACCACCATACTCCCTACATTTCCTAAAGAAGTCCAGCAGAGGTGCTTTCAGGAGATTCATGCAAGTCTGTTCTAAAGCCTTTATTTACAGAATTAATTCTTACAAGGATGCCCAATGACTTTCTAGAGAAAGTACATTTTAAGTGACCCAGAGATAACACAAAAGAAATTACTTTTCTCAGTGGCATTTTTTCTGGAAGCAACATAGGGATGAAAAGACCATTATTGTTGCTCTTTCAGTTCCTTGGTGGTGGTGGTGATGTGCCGTGGAGTCAGAACCGACTCATAGTGACCCATAGTGACCCTGTACACGGTTTCCGAGGCTGTGAATCTTTACAGGAGCAGAAAGCCTCATCTTTCTCCCGTGGAATAGCTGGTAGTTTCAAACTGTTGACCTTGACATTCACAGTCTGATTCGTAACCACTACGCTACCAGTTCAGTTCCTTATAGCTATTAAATTATTCTACAACAGAGATTAGACCTGAATAACATTCAGGGTGTATTTGAAGGAGCTAGAAAGAGAACAAAAGATCAAAAGCATTCATTTCAATAAGCAGGGAGGCACTTAGAGGGTTTTGTGGATAAAAAGTGAACATCTGGGTACAGAAGTGTGCAAAATATCTGTGTAAGATGAATTTTAAAAGATGGGAAAATTGCAACAGGTTTATCTTGATCCTGAAAAAAATGTTAATAAAGATTTTGTGAGTTGAGTTTATGTATTGTATCGATAGAAAGTAAATCATTTAAGAGGTAAAATCTATGAAGCCAAACTTCCCTGGGGTTGTACTCAAACATCTCTGCTATTTGTGCAATTTTATCAACGTATCAAAATTATGGATGCAACTTAATCAAGTGTTACGTGTGAAATTATAGATTAAAAACTTGTACTAGAAAAGATGGCATCCAAATTCAGTGATCTAAAATGCTCATTTATGAAGTTAGGAAAAGAAAAGCCAATTATGCTCACAGTAAGTAGTAAGAGGGAAATAATATGGATGTGATAAGAACCCAGTAAAATATAAAACAAGCAAAAAAATCACACTAAATACTCGTTCTTTGAAGCAATCAATAAAAATAATGATGTTCTAGTTAGAAAGACCCAATGTGGGGCATAAGAGCAAAGACACAATTACCAATAGCAGAAGTGACAGAATAATACCATTGCAAATCCTACAGGCATTGAAGGCACAGTAAAGAAATATTAGAAATTACTTTATACCAATAAAATTGTCAATTTAAGTTAAATAGAAATAGATAAATTATAAATGCCATTTATAAAGAAAGAGAGAGGACATCTGAATAGTAATATATCAATTAAAGTAATTGAAGTAGTAATTAAAACTCTTCCCACAGAAAACAAACACCATCAAGAACAAAAATCCCGGGCACAGGTTCACATGACAGTTTTATGAAACATTTCAGAAATATATAGGTAAACACACACATAGTATTTCAGGAAATACAGCAGGAAATGATGG